CCCGAGTGTGGCTCGGGGTTACCGCTTTTGGTACTGAAAATTAACCCCGAGCCACACTCTGGAATACCACCAGGAAGGTTAATGTAGGAAAAAAAATAGTTTTCTTACTCTTACTGTGTGCGTCACTCCGCCCACTCTTGTAATTTCTTGTGTATGAAAAAAAATCTTTTGCTGCAGTGCTCACAAAAAACACCAGTGCTCTGATAAATAAGCCTTGTTCAGACCCTTGGGTCTCAAAGCACTTCTTGTAGGATAAAACTCCTTCCTCACACTATTTGAAGCCGTGATCTTCCTTCCTTCAGATGAGACCGATCCTGATCTTAACGTTTTCTCCTCTACCGACAGCTCAACTTCATCTCCACAAAATCTCTCAAAGACAGAAGTGGAAATCATAGCGCACCCCATATACATTGAAAATATTTTATTAAAAGAATTAAACTCACATAAAAAACAACTAAAATCGCATCTCAGAATCTCATTCCTGGATGTCAGATCTATCCTCCTCTCTCTAGTTAAATAAATAAATAAAGAGATGCTCATGAAGCGATTCTCTTTGGTTTTAATAATGGAAATTTGCAGATATTGTTAGGTGACTCAGGCAGGTTTAGAGGAAGTCAATTGTTTACATAGATCCCTATACAAATTTTGTCTAGCCTAGTTGAAAGGGTGTGGACACAATGTTGATTTTATTTAGCAAACGCACACACAAGGTTTTTTGTTTTTTTCCTGTTCAGAAAGGAAAAGGGAAGAGTCATTCAAGAGAAAACTTGTATCTTTCCATGTAAATGCAAGAGGAACTTCAATATACGTTAAAGATTCAGTTTGTAAATGCCTCAAGTTTAAATTAAAAACAGGAACAGATATTTTGTTTAAAGCAGTTAAAGTACCGCTAGAACAAACAAACCTTACGAAAATGAAAACATAAATAAATGTTAATACTAATGGTGGGAAAAAACTGCAGAAAAATAATAGCTAATGGAAAAGGAGAGGAAGGAGATAATTAGGCCTGATTGGGGCTAACTGAGGGTTAATAAGTTAATTAGATATAGTTCTTATTAAAAAAATAAAAACTGACATTAAGTCGAGATCAAATGAAAAGAACTGTCAAGGCATTTCCAACACAGATCTAATAGCATCTAACAGCAACCTAGCCATGGATGCCAAAAGTACTTTATTGATGTTTTTAGGTCATATTGGTACACCCAATGCCCAACCTTTGTGGTCTAATGTAGCTGAATGTACAGTGGTAATATACAAATAAAGCTTTAGGGGCCAGCAGAAGTCATATATCTACATACTCTCTCCCTAACTGGATATACATTCTATTCTCTTCAGTCACATGAGAATGCAGGCGACACTTAATAAGCCTATAATAAAATAAATCAAAACTCGACACACCAATTTCATTGGGAATTTATGGCCGCGGCACTTTATTGGTATTAATAAATAAAACTTTATTGAATCAAATTACCATTAATTAAATACCACCAACTTTTGCTCAGTCATAAAAAAACTTGAGCAAGACCAAAGCATTAATTCATCAAAGTCCCCCTCAACCAAATAAAGGTGACAAGAACCGCATAAAATGCCGGGACTGAGGGGGGTTGAGGGAAGCTTGCTTGTGCTGTGGTCAGCCAACTGGACACTGATCCAGGAGAAATCCTGCCTTTTATAGGGAGATACTGGCACTGGAGAAAGTTCGCGAAACATCATCCAGAAGAGAGGATTTTCCCGCCCAAAGTTCCTCACGAGGCTGCAGGATTTACTTAAAGGGACAGCGACCCTGTAATTAAAATGAACAGACAGACAAAAAGACATACCAGAAAAAGTACTATGTGTCAAATCTAATAAAAATGAATACTTCAAAATAAAATGTAATTATATTCAGTAGCATTGTTAATGTCTGCGTGTGTTTATAATGTCAGTATATTTTTTTGTGATGATGTGTGTGTGTGTGTGTATTGTCAGGATTTCTCTGAGTGATGTCAGTATGTGTTAATGTTCCTATGTGTGTCATATCAGTATGTATACCAGTGTATAGGTGTGCAGTGTCAGTATATGTCTGTGTTTTTCCCCGCAAGTTTTAATTTTAATCATAGAGGACCAACAAATTCACACATTCACTCACACAGAGAAATACACACACACACAAATACGCACACAGAGAAATATATACACACACACAGAAATACACACACAATAATACACATACACCCCCACACATTAATACACATACAATAATACACATAAACCCTCACACACAGAAATATACACACAATAACACACACACACCTGTGGTCAGGTGCAAGGCTTTAGCCAATCAGGGCTCTCAAATGCACAGAGTGCATTGCGGGACGTCCAGCGGGCGAACAGCCCGCCGAATGCCCTGACAGTTTGTGTGTTCGGCAAACACACGAACTAGCGATGTTCTAGTCGAACCCACGTTCAGCTCGAACATCGAGCCCAACCCTATTAACCGATAATATGAAATCACCTGCACTCCATACAGCGTACAGACCTTGGATGAGAGGTTGGTGCTTGAAGTTACAACACGGATGGCACCGCATCACTATGTTGCCCAGAAGAAGGGACCCTGCGTGGCCCCGAAACGTTGGCTGTTTGACGCATGTGACAATCTAATAAAAAGTGCTTTACTTCTTGCACATATCTTCGAGTGCTGGTGACTTCTATTACACTGGTCAACAAAAAAACAAAAACAATTTCTGGCCTGATTTCAGCAAATAATGTGGAATTGTTCAAGAAACTTTTGGACGATTTCTTAAGGGACCGTAATATACAGGGGTACGGGTACTCCTAGAATGAGATCCTAATAGGTTGGACTTGATGGACTAATGTCTTTATTCAACCTCAAATACTATGTAACTATGTATGTAAGATTTGCTCTATCACATCTCATTTTCATGCTACCGGCATACCCCATTTTCATTGATTTTACCCAAAATTAACTCTTTGTCACTTATGCTTGCAAGTTGTTGCGAGTCAGTGACTGCTTTAGTGTTAAAATATGGTGCTGTATTTTTAGGATAGTGTGTTTATAATATAATTTTATGTAGACATCCACATTTATTTCATATTTTCCTTCTGCGGGGCGTGATCTAACAATGGCTACAACATCCGAAAGAAGGAAATGCAGTAATGACCCAGATATCTTCTGCTACATCTGTGGCAGCTTCACTTTGCAGGATCAAAGGCGCAACATCAATACCTTTGTCAAGAAGGTTTATCTTGCCTTCTTTAAAGTACGACTTGGAGACCATGAAAAAAGCTGGGCTCCTCACAAAGTGTGTAAAACCTGTGTTGAAACTTTGCGATCATGGTCTAAAGGAAAGAATGCTAAGCTGAAGTTTGGTGTGCCAATGGTTTGGAGAGAACCTACAAACCATTTGGATAACTGCTACTTCTGCCTTGTCAATGTAAAAAGTTTCAATAAGAAAAATAAACAACACTTACAATGCCCAGATATCCCATCTGCCAGACGACCAGTTGAGCACTGTGAGGAAATACCTGGGCCTGTATTTACTGAGCTACCAGAGATTGATGTTGAATCCCTCAGTTGACCTGCTTCTACAGATGATGATGATGATGCTCAGATTGAATATACGCCATCTGATGCAGATTGTGATAACATTTCTCTGTTTAGTCAGCCTGAATTGAATGATCTTGTAATAGATTTGTATTTGCCAAAGCAGTCTGCTGAATTGTTTGCTTCCAGGCTGCAAGAGAAAGGACTACTCAGACCTGGCACTAGTGTCTCCTTTTATCGTAACAGAGAAGCAGCACTGCGAAAGTACTTCCATTCAGATGGTCAACTTGTTTATTGTAATGATGTTGAAGGGCTTTTTCTCAATATGGGACTGCCCGCATATGATTTAAGTGAATGGAGACTTTTTATTGACAGTAGTAAAAGGAGTTTGAAATGTGTGTTACTTCACAACAGAAATATATATGGTTCAATCCCAATAGGACACTCTGTAAAAATGAAAGATGAGTATCTTATCTTATCTTATTCTTGTATGTATGCCTGTATAGCTATTCGTATACGAGCATAAATTCGCTGTTTTTATTGAAAATGCAATATGTGATAGACAAAAACGATGCCAGATTTGGAATCAGCACTCCAAAATTACCTTAAAACTGTTGGAATACCTTATGCCAGAAAAAGTGTGTTGACCAGTGTTATCAACATGATCCAAACGTGGGAAATGCGCATTCCCGCAACATTTGTGTCCCCGCTATGTGCGTCCACACTATCTCCCAGTTTGAATGGGGCCTTAATGTGGTTCAACCATCTTCAAAGCTGTGCCTTTGCAGGACTTTGTTTTCCCCGCATTTGATGTGCGTCCCCATTGATCCCCATTGGATCCCTGGACGCACGCCAACTGTAGAAAAAGAAGTACATATTGCAAATTTGGCAACATGCATACTGCATTTTTTTCTCACATTCGTGATGTTCTCACGTGAGGAAAAAATGCATTCGCTCGGTCGTGTTTGGGGTGCTATTACCTAGTAATGGCAACGCAAACGCATTCCGCGTTTGTGCATGCATCATGAAAGTGTGTCAAAGCGTGCACGTTTCACACACGATCATGATACGCCCTGGTGTGAACGTGGCCTAATATATATTTTTGGGGGGGCCGATGTGTGAGTGCATGAAATAAATAAATCCAAACTGGAGCTCGGTGCTTCAATGTTCAACTTTATTGTTGAGTCAATATTTCTTGTCATGCAAAATAAATATAAATAAAACACCTTTAAATAAGGAACAGTTATTTCTCAAGCCCTGCAGCGATGTGGGAACGCATTTAGATGCCATTAAGTCTTTGTAGTTTCTCAATAGGGAGTAGTGTCATGTCAAGATAAGCTGATAGAGCTGTCCGGAAGCATGTATTAAAAAGAAAAAAGGAAGTTCCATGGTGTAAATTGCAAGGAGGTATTTGAGAGTATTTTGCTTCCTGGATCTGTCCAACCTGCAGAGAACCTGTGCGGCTGCTGAGTGCTGAGAGTAGTCCAACCAAAAGGCTGCTGATTTACAATGCAGATGATGGGACCTTAGCTTATTTGTTTGTAGCTTCGCTGGGCTATAAAGGCAGCTGATCGGTACGGCTGGAAACTTACATGGTGCAAGACACATGATATGACAAGCCAGAAAGGACAGTGGAGATTGCTTATCATAGCACAGGATGTCTTTGTTCAATCCTATTCTAAGTCCTGCAGATATCAAACCCTACCTAACCAAAGGGGAACGCTTCATCAAATGGGATGATGTAAGTATTTTAGCTTTGCACAGTGCTTTATATACTGCAAATGATCTAGGGGTATCTTATGTTTGCACTTGCCATGTATAAATTAGTTTGTACTGGGAATAAACTGAAATGAGTACGCTAACAGTAAGTCAGATGTCAACATGTGAGTTCTGTTTTGTTTTTTTTTACAAATGAATTTATCAAATATTCTACAGTCAGAATTTACAGTGACATGAAACTCGGGAGTTAAATCTTAAAAACACATTTAGGTACCTTAACTATTATCAAAAATGTATCTTCTTTGTGTATGACTCGGCTGTAGATCCTCAAATCATCTCGGAATTGTTGCTGACACTGTCCTTCCTTCTGGAGGGTGGATACTTTTGTTACCCATGGTCCCTGTGTGTGCTGTAAAGTAGTCAACGCTCCAAACTCGCTCCTGTGATGGACTACAATCCCAATACAAATTTAAAAAATTTACGTAAATTTTGCAGTTCATCACAGGAGCGAGGTTGGAACGGTGACTACTTTACAACACACACAGGGAGTATGGGTAACAAAAGTAGCCCCCCTCCAGAAGGAAGGACAGTGTCAGCACCAATTCAGAGATGATTTGAGGATCTACAGCAGAGTGATACACAAATAAGCTAAATTTTTGTTAATAGTGAAGGCACTTTATGCATTGTTAAGTGTTAGCTCCTGAGTTTAGTGTCACTTCAACAGCCTGTACTATTGCCAGGTACTAGCTTAAAATTATTACTTTCTATATCAGAGAATACAAAAGGAGAAGGGGGGAGCATTGTAGCTATACACTTACTCCAAATGTTTACTCTTCTATAGAAATATATGGGATATGCAGCATGGTTTTCTATAAGGACAATGTTGTTAGAGCAGATACAGTGTTGATAACAAGCAAACAAATTACCCTGAAATCTACCATGAATAGTTTTGAGTCATGTGAACTAAGCACCAACTATCCCCATTATTATATATTAGGCAATAGAATGGCATCTTTATGGTTTGTTCAGGTCGGTATGCACCATGGGCTATGATAATGAAATGTTTTCTTAAAGTTTATGTAAGCCCCAACAAAGAACTTCTCTTTTTTTGTTCCTTTTGATATGTTAAATATACCATTTAAAAGTGTTTTGTTATATCTGCTTAGTAAGTGCAAAGAAAAAAAAACTTTGCTGATCCTGCCAAAATCCCAGCGAGCTTGTATCTTCCTGTTTGAGCTGGCAGCACAATGGGGTTCATTTACTAAAGGCAAATAGGCTGATCACTTTGCAAGGGCATTTGCGCTTTGCAGGGAAGGCTTCCCTTAGCTTGGTGAATGTGGTGAAATTTCACTACGCAAAGAATACCCATTCATCTGCAAACTTGCAGGTTATTGGATGATGGCAGTCAGCAGAGCTTTACCTTATTCACTAAATTAAGGTGAAACTTGCCCTGTAAAGTGTGAATTAATTTGCAAAGTGAACAGCCTATTTGCCTTTAGTAAAGCAACCCCAATGCCTCTTCTGATCTGAGATACCAATGAGTAGGGATGCACCGATACCGAAACTAGTATCGGTGCCGATGCCGAGTATTTGGGCATCGGCACATGCCAAAATTCTCCAATGCCTAGCCCGATACCTGAGCTTCCGGTATCCGGAAGCTGGACAGCGAGTCATTACACGCTGCCAGGCTTCCTGATTGGCCAGAAAGCCGGCACCGTGCTCCCTCATCACTTGGTGAAAGCCGGGCAGTGTGTAATGACTCACCGCCTAGCTTCCTGATTAGTCGGGAAGCTGGCCAATCAGGAAGCCAGGCGGTGAGTCATTACCCCCCCCCCCCGGTTTTCTGATTGGCCAGAAAGCCGGCTTAATTTCTCCCTTGTCACCTGGTGACGAGGGAGCATGGAGCTGGCTTCCCGGCCAATCAGGAGCCTGAGCAATGAGTCATTACACGGCGCCTGGCTTCCTGATTAGCCAGCTTCTCGACCAATCAGGAAGCCGGGCAGCGAGTCATTAAACAGCGCCCGGGTTCCTGATTGGCCAGAAAGCTGGCTCCATGCTTCCTCATCACCTGGTGATGAGGGAGCATGGAAGCAGCTTCCCTGCTAATTGGGAAGCCAGGTGGCGATTCATTACACGCTGCCCGATTTTCGTAATGGGACTTCCGGTATCGGTATTCGGTATCTGCCAGTACCGGGAAAAAATATCGGTACTTGTACTTGATACCGAAGAAGCCGGTATAGTTGCATCCCTACCGATGAGATTTGTCAACCCTGTCCACTTCAGCTCTGTGGGCTAGAGAATACCTCCTCCCATGCTACTGAGATGAGGAGAAAGGAAATGAGACACTTCCTGTTTCAAGGTGACAACACTACTCCTTCATAGATACAGTACAGTGAATGAGTGATGTCACCCTAGAACAGGAAGAGTGTTACTGGAAGGAGCATCAGGTGAAAATAAAGGTAAAAAAAAACACAAAAAAGAAAACTAATGCAACCTCCACATCTAAAGTCTGGTAAGCTGCAATGTACTACATTTTTGTTCTTGGGTTTAGATAGAGCTTAACAGGACACATAGCATCAGACATCCCTCTAACAGCGTATATGATTTACATAACTTTTACTAAACATATGTGAAATTTCACTGCTTTCAACTTGAACAATCGGAACTTTGGGTAGTGCCACTGCATGTTTAGAATCTAATATAAAACACTAATGCTGTCCCTTCAATTTAACTGTGGACAATTGGATATTAAACATATTCCTGTGTATTAAAACAGCACAACACATCCGAAGCCTAGATTATACGATCTAGGTATTGATCCAATGTAACTAGTTCTTCCTTATATATGGACTTTGGTACATCTTACTCTACACTCTCATAGTTCTTTACAGCACGAAGTGTGTCCCATGCTTAACCTTCCCAAAAGTAGCTAAAAATGTTTACCCCGTGTCAATACCTGCCATATTCCGAGACCCCAGATACACTTCTTAACACCATCCTGATAATTACAGGATGAGCAATGCTTCCTTCACAGTCAGTTCTCTGGAACATTTTCTGGGGAGCCAAACCTGCCATGTTTAATTCCAAGTGATAAACTCCCACATGGATTCAATACACCCAGTTTGACAGGTACACTATGTGACTCCTAGACACTCAATAGCCCCACTACAGTGCATTTGTGGCAAAGACTGATGCTCATGTCCTGTAAAGACTCGTCCTCCCCATGCTGTTACATCCCACTATACGAGATGGCTCTTTAATGTCATCTTAGAGATTAGTGACCCTATGACATGAATGCTACGAGTAGTTAGGTTACACAGCAGCGGGCTTCCCCATTGCTTGTGTAACCGAACTATTGAGGCAAGAGCTGTCAGAGGCGTGAGCTCTGTGGATGGCTTGGACCAATGGCAAAGCGCCATTGGTCCAAGCTGTCCAATCAAAAAAAGAAAAAAAAACCCACTGAGGCCATTGATCTCGATGCCTCAGCAGTGACGAGCAAGTGAGGGACAGGGAGGCTCCTCCCTGTCTCCTCCCTTCCTCCTTCACACTAGCTTGGGGAGCGGGTTGGGGAATGCCTCACCCGGAACCAGAGGAACCGCACGTCACTGGTATATACACACACATTTATTGTTTGCATGGATACCCAGTTTTTGGTAGTATAGAGTTAACTTTTGTTTCTTACAAGGTCCAAAGGCTTATATGATGAACAAAGTCAATCATTTAGCAAATTATTTTTAAAAATAGGTGAATATTCCTTCTATGGCACAGCAGGCATACTGTATTAGTATCTGCTCAAATGTGTCCATGTTTGTATACAGGTTTTTTCAATGCCCATCTCTCAATAAGTGCAAGTTCTTCAGGCCACAGCAATCTTACCCTAGAAATAGTATCTGCCAATAAGTGCCACTGATTATCACTTCAGTATGATAAACACTCATGTATATGGAGTAACAGCATCAGACAACTTAAGACAGGGTTATAAAGGTGATTTGGAAGGGCTCATTCCCATTGACGCAAATACAGGTGTACCAGTAAACGCCGGCAGCTACAAGTGCACACCCCCTTACAGAGTATATTGTGTCCATAAAATCCAAAAGATAAAAATGTGCAACAGCTAGGGCTCCCAGGTGGCGCAAATACAGGTATATTTTCTACTGTATACCCATATGTCTGTATTTTAGCCCATGGGAATGAGTCTTTGGCTATAAAACCAGGGATCCCAACCTGAAAAAAAGCAACTTCAGGGAGGTGCCCCTCTCATTTCAGCCCCACCCCCATCCACCGGGGGGTGGGGTAGCACACCCCTGCAATGATGGCAAATGGCATTGGAAGCAATGGCTTCTTTGCTACCTGCTGGGTTTTTTTGTTAGTATTCTGACAGCTGCTGCCGTCAGAATAAACCCCCCCCCCCAAAAAAAAACAGCATAGAAATGACCAGCTAGATTGCTATTGGCTATTTCAATTTGCAATATCAAATAGCAAGCTGGCTATTGCACCCACCCTCTGCAGCTGTCAATCACTGGAAGAGGACCTGATGGAGAACCTCAGGACCCCTCTACTAATTGACAGCAGCAGTGGGCGGGTGCAGTAGCTAGTCTGCTATTGGCTATTGCAAAGTGAAATAGCCAATAGCAATCTAGCTATGCATTCCCATGCTGTTTTTATTTTTCTTTGACTGACGGCTGCCGGCAGCCCCAATGTCAGAAAAACCCCAAAAACAGATTGCAGGGAAAGGTTTACTCTGCTAGACATAGCAGAGTAAACCTTTCCAGGAGAAAATGTATCTCTCCTGTGTGAACTGAAGCCGCTATCTAATAGCGGGAGACTCCCAGAGCATCCGCCCAGCTGTCAGTTTTTTTAAATTGCGGCTTTCCCGCTAATCTGTTCCGTCTACTTTTCACCCGAGCTTGACAAAGAGGCATAGCCTTGAAACGCGTAGCGCTTTTCTGTCCTCAATACCGACACCCTCTACTACTGATTACACCCCTATTACTGTCTCAGCCGAAGTCCGCTCCCCACGAC